TAAATAACAGAAGTCACACAATGTGTAATTGAACTTCAACATTAAATAAATAATAATTCTACTACAAAACAAATGCTCATACTTGGCAAATAATATTAATATGATAATATAATTAACTTAACAGTGTTTAATACAAAAATAAATAATATACAGACAATTATCACATTATATAACAAAATAATTCATCAATTCAGACTATAGTTCATAGATAAAAGTGATGAATAACGAAAATAATACTTTGGAACATACATAAAACAATAAATAATATATCTATATGATAATACAAATATAATTACAATATAATTCACAACTACAACCAAACGATACACAGATAATAACTATATAAACAAGTATAGAGTGTATATATATAATTAAATAAAACTATTAAATCAATTCTTGTACAAACAATTAATTTGCCCTCACTACACAATTAATACAAGTGTGAACAGTATTATAATACTATGAAATACATCAGATAGATACTAATAGGTATATCTATACAATGATTCAAATAAAATAAACAAAACTGATATACAAAACATTTTACCTAGCAAACCAATTAACAAATAAAACATTGAACAAATACTACAATTGCACATAGTACTAGATTAACTAAAGAACACTAGGAGACAATTATAGTAAACATAATCCAATATATTACTTATATACAGATTGTGTTACAATACATTATTCTTTGCAAAAGAAAAAGTAAAGAACAATAGTCATAACATACACACATATATATACACAATACTATGATTGCAACAATTCACAATAACATTGTTAATGATAAATAATACAAACACATGTTAGTAATGATTTACAACGGATAACTATGTTGGCTATTAAAGAAACAATGCAACAGATTGTATAGTTACTCAGGATGCATCAGAAACGATCAATTAACAAACATAACATTAATAAATTAATACACAGATATAAACAATAATGTAAAGCAAACAAACAAACAGTACATTCATGATATAATACATATACAATGTACCTAGACACATAGTAAGATGCCTGCAGCCAGACATAACATCTATGCAACAATTATATGTTAGTATAAAACCTCATTGATCTCAGAATGAAGCAATCTGGCAAAAACAAATATTATTATTAATATTACAATATACAATCAATACAAAGCTTCAATCCAAAGACATAAATCAGCTATTGCTGAATGCTTAATGCATATACAAACGTAGACGAACACAGACAGTAATAATTAAAGAAGGATATTATTGCAACATCAAATATACATTTTACTAGTGTGATTCATTAGTTTCACTGTGAAGTAAAAAGGAAATTACTAGAGTACTCAAACAAACTTAATAACAAATGATATGACTGAATAACAAACAATAAAACAAAACGAGCAATTACATTTATGATTTAAATATGTGTATATACATACCTATGCATGCTGACAAGATTCTGCAGGTCTCTGAAGCATTTATAAATTATTTAATAACATTTACAAACAATCTATTGTGATAACAATACTGTTATTCAACAATATATTATAAACGAACAAACTAATTAAATATACTTAATCAATATAACATTGGATGAACTTAACACAAAGTGGATGACATTTGGAACAGACAGTACACAGAACAAACAATGCATTACTACAATGCTAATAATATTATTATTAACTACATCAAGTTATAAATGCATTACACAAACGAACAATTGTACAATGCAGTTATAATGATTAAACTATCTATACATACTGCAAGCAAACATCTTACAAGTCTACTAGACCTAGTAAGAGTTTGAAGGGGAGTGTTAAGACGAGACTACATGAGAGTATGTCTCAGATGATATAAACTACATTACAAGCAATGATGAACAATGATGGAATACCTTCCATCATACATTCTACATCTGAGACATACCTACATAGTATATATAGACTAACTAATCAACAGACAATGAAGCAAGCTGCGAGAGAGCGAGCCGAGTCCACTATCCCTCCTCTTTGTGTGATCCCTCTAAGCCTCTCACATAACCTCTTTCCCCTTTCTTAACAAAACTGTGAAGAGTTGTCCCTGGCTCTTTGGCATACCTTGGCTCTTGACTCTATTCAGTATGGTACTCCTGTGGAGCAAAATCCTATAGTCTAACAATGGCCGAGTGCAACACGGAGATACACGTCACGATTTCTCCGACTTGCTTGTCTTTCTGTGTATGTTTGTACAACAGCCAATATTCCCAAGACCATGTAGACCATATTGGACCTTAATTACTATGATTCAATTATCTTCAGTTGTTGACCAATGTTTCTGGAGGACTGGAGCACGTTGTTGAAAAGGTTTCAACGTTCGTCTTATGGCTTGTTCGCATACAACCAAGGTATTCAATCTATCAGTGACAGAAACTTGTTTCTGCCAAGAGCACATGCTATGACAATATGATTTACAGCTTTGACAGGTCCATGTTGATCGTCTCCTTCTGGATAATTTTTAACATCAAATGAGTCTCCATGTCTGTCAGCAGATCTTGGCCTCGATATTCTCGTGAGAGATGGATATATAAGTATCATTCCTAGCCAGACGTTTCTCTCTCTGAGGCAGAATGGCGTTCACTCTGCTTCTTACTGCTCTTTCGGCTGTCCTAACAGTCACTGCATCGCCTACCCTTCTTAAGCGTGCAGCCCCAAAGGGAATTGACGTTTCTGGCTTTCAACCGGGTGTAAACTTCAATACTGTCAAAGCTAATGGAGTGTCGTTCGTGTACATCAAGGCCACAGAGGGCACTAGTATGTATTCTGTTTAGTCTGACTTTGGCTTGCTGCTAATAAATTTATTGCTACTTAGCTTTCATAAGTGATCTCTTTAGCTCTCAATACACAGGAGCAACGAATGCAGGTTTGATCCGTGGAGCTTATCACTTTGCACATCCGGATAGCTCGAGTGGTGCTGCCCAAGCGAACTTCTTCCTAGCTCACGGAGGTAAGATAACACTACATTCACTGCAAGTTACTAAATTATTATTATCTGAATGCAGGTGGCTGGTCAGCGGATGGTATAACTCTTCCTGGTACTATAGACTTGGAAAGTAAGAAGAAATGTGACTGTTTAGATACCAAGCTAACTTTATGTGAAGACAACCCTAATGGTGCTGAGTGCTACGGGCTCAGCCAGTCGGCAATGGTATCTTGGATTAAAGATTTTTCCTCAACGTATGAAGTGAAGACTGGGAGGTGAGCGCCAATTAATATTACTTGTGGTACTTTCTACTTATAAGACAAATAGATTTCCTGGTAAGTTACTGACAAAATATCACTCGATCCTCTCTTAAGTAACTTATAAATGTTGTGTTTGCTAGTAATTTACACAACAACGAGCTGGTGGACTACCTGTACTGGCAACAGCGCGGCATTCAGCAATGACAACCCGTTGTGGATTGCTCATTTTGCTTCTGAAGTCGGACCAATACCGTCAGGCTGGCCGTAAGTACTTTTATATGTACGCAAATCAGATGTTTGGGTTTTAACCATGACTGTATATCAGGTTTTATACGTTCTGGCAGAACGCAGATAGTGCCTCTCCGAACCCGGGTGATTCTGACATCTTCAATGGTGACGCAACGGGATTGGCTAGACTTGCAAAGGGTTCTTGACAATATAATATTTGGAACGAAGGGAATATTGGTGGATGGTATCTGCTTATTTGAAGTTAGCCGGCGTTGTAAATTTAATTCCGTATTGTTGTGCAGAAATGGATCGCGTTCTTATATACATAAAGTGTTTGGTTCTGTATTTTGCAAAGACATACAAGCCATCAGGAAGATCTCTAGTCTAGGAAAACACACACCAATAAGGAGAAAGGGAAAATGGATGTACAATATCAGAGTGCTCATACGTTTCAACCCGGTGAAATCGGCAAAGAATGCTGCTCATCTGAAACAAGAATCCTCGAAGGACAGAGTCAATGAAATGAATTTGATTACCTCTCCTAATGATTGGAAGGTGGAATACGAATTACCGTAGTACTGCGCATCCGATATAAATTGGCCCGGGAGAGAAAAGCGCTTGGTAGGCATGTCGACGGTAATTTACTACGGATGCCATACTGCGAGGGTGGGAAACTCTCCTATGTCTAGATGTTCATGGCTCGAGTGTCTTTTCTCTCTCTTTGAAATGTCTGACTTGCCGCCACAATTCGAAAAGGTACAGATTAAGGTTTAAGTTTGAGGATGACGTCCACGAGGGAGGGTGAAAGCCGCCACATGCAGGTATGAATGAACGGCATCCAGAAGCTTCGGTGAATTAGACTGTCGTTATTTGGGGCTTTTCTTGGCAACTCCTAGATACGCGGAGAACGCATGGCTTTCACGGGTAGGCATTTCAGTTAGTCTAGAGGACAGAACTTCATCGTCTGTCTGAAAAAAATGTCCCGATTTCTCCTGCATGGTACATTGGTAAGACATTCCGTCTTGGTGGAAAAGGGGCTGGTTCTGGAGAACTGAGTGCTCCAACGAGACGAAGGACGTGAGAAAGAGATAACCATTCGACGACGCGGCGTTTGTAAGATCGAAGTCGAGCCTTGTCTCGGGTACCACGGTCTGGCCATAACAATTAAGAGAAATTGCCATTTTGCTGTGCAACGACATGCTTGCTTCAGGGTTTTTTTGTGGATGATGGATGGTTCATTGCTGTGCAGACTCGCAGTGCGATGCAGGGGGATAATAAGCGAGACAAGAGAGAGGGACATGTACCGACCGAAACGGGGCGATCGACGCGCGGTTGGCAGGGTGCACGTGCCTCGCTGATGGCCGCTCATTTCGCACGGCTCGAACCCTGATTCTGCTTCTCCTTCCCGTCATTGGCCCTCCCTCTCCTCCTTCTTCCTCCACGTCCTCCACCGCCTACGCCCACACAATCCTCGTCGCTGCCGTTGCCTCTGCGGGCGCTGGTCCACCCGTCTCTCTGGCGAATATCTCTGAATACTGCGACACAGTCTACCCGGAGCTGTTCAACAGCAGCGTAACCCGTGGTACAGATTCCTTAACGACCTTCACGATTTCCGCCTTTCCTCGATAACATAGGCCGAAGATGACGCGCTTCGGTGACCTCGATTCCCTATGCCATACGGTGCCTTCGTACACATGGTGTAATCTCTTCTATAGGCAGGTACGTACCTTCGAGCATTGTTTGATTGTGGATTTTTGCTCACTGGTTGCTTTTCGTCTCACCCTACTATAACCTTTGCGTGTTGTTTCACCTTGTATCTGGCGCCAATAGATTCAGAAGAGCTCGAATGCCACTCTTAGCGGCTTGTCCGCGGACCCTTCATCCGCTCCCATAGGGATTAACCCGGAATGTGGTATTCCACTTGTGGGGAAAACAAATTCATTCACCGGAACAACCAAGTCGCTCGGGAATATCGCAGACATTATCATTTGCGGTCTTAGCATTTTTGTCGTGGCGGCGTTGATATTATGGACTTCTCGAAGAAAAGCAGCTGTTGGTAAGTTTCATCCATATATGCAGTGTTACTTCTTTCCAGTTCGTCTTCCGAATGTCGTGCGAAGCTGCTGCGCCCGGAGTTTTGAGCGGTGATCGGGTTATTTGTTTCGGCGGTGTATGATCTGTTTCTGCGCACCGTTGCAGCATTTCTTCTGAAAAACATAAATCCGTTCTTCGTTGCTCTCCCACCGGTTACTTTGGATGTGTCGGTGCGTTCACACCGTATGTCCGGTCGGGAAGAGCCTGTGGTGCCTAGATACACTTCGGGAGGATCTGCGAGGCGGTGTCGTCGGATCAACACATTTATTTTGAAAGCGCTGGATACGTTATCCCAGTGTTCCGTCTCTTATGAGGCGCAGACTCCCATTCGATTCTTATACTGTTTATCTAAAGGAATGCTAACCCGACTTCAATAGGGCGTTCGGAACTGCGGGTTTTCTTAGTCTTGTACCTCTTGACCCTACCATTCCAACTGGTTACAACGGGATCCATTATACAACAAGGCACCACAGCTCTAGTAGTGCTCACCGCAATACACGCAGGTTTGTCTTTTCTTCTTGCACCTAGTTGCGTTTCTGAAGAGGGACAATTTTAGGACTTGTTGCATCACTGTTTTGGGCGCTTCTCGCAAATGGCTTAGTTGCAACACAAATAGTTGAAGACGGGACTCTTAGCTCCCTAGTCGTAAGTGTGTACAATCAACATGAAACCATTTTTGCTAAGACGACTCCGACAATATAGCCGATAGGCATCTTTGCTCTGCTATTCTTCGTTGCGACGACGTATATCTCGCTTGATGTCGGATTGACTATCACTTCGACGTTTGGTCCATCGAATCCTCCACAAGCAGTACATAGTACCCCAGTATTCGTTCTTACGAGTATTTGGCCCGGCGCGTATGTGTTTAGATATCTCATTTTTCGTGATGGTGTATGCTTAACAATTTTTCCAGGGCGGCGCTGCTGTACTTCATTCTGATGTCATACATTGTCCTCGGTGTGTTGCGTGAACGTCGGCCAATGTTGTATTATATCGCCGCAGCGGTGTGCTTCGTTCTCGGCCAACTCGCTTGGTTCTTGCTCGGCAAGGTCATTTGTCGAGTACGCCTATCATTTGCTTTTTGCCCATGCGGCCGTTAATTTGATGTTGGTACATTCAGAATACCAGCGCGAAAATCGATGGATCGTTCATTGCGACCATACTAGAAACGGCGGCCGTTGGGGCCATATTCCTAGGGTGGAAGAGTATCACAGAAGGTTCGTCATCGCTCTCACTCTCGTACTTTGTGTGCTGCAACAACTCATCTATTGAACATGAATTATAGAATCATGGGACGATTATAATTACTAGCCTCTTTCTTCTATGATGTTTTTCTGCCCTTTGTTCACTTTTTACCTTGGAGACATACCTTTACCCATATTCTCCTCACCCACCCACCGTTCTCACTTCTCCCCAAGATTCTTCCTTTGCAGAGTTAATTAATCTATTATTACACAGTCCACTCTCGTTATTGACGTTATCCCTTTGTTTTTCTACTACCTCTGTTCGAAATTCGAAATTCTTTCTCATGTGACGTACTGGTATTATCATCAATTGCTGTTTTTTTACTGCCTTCTCGGTTTTTGTTTGTTGGCGTCTCTTGCTTGGGACAGAGTCATTGAAGAATTTGTTTGTTTGTCACTCTAGAATCTCCTGAGTTTATTCACTCTGTTTTTGTGTGTTTGTCAGACATATGCTTCTTTGTGAATCCGTTATTTTGGAACGGTCATCAAGGGTTACCTACCTAAATATATGTGCTACAACCGAATGACCCGAACTTCGTTCTTACCACCTTCGCGATAACCTATCTGGTATGCAGGGCGTGTCAGGAACGCAGACGGTCTAGAAGCTGCCTACGAAGGTTTGACGAAGTTTTGAAAGGGCCAATTGTTGCACGTGGATAACACGCTAACACCTCGTTACTTTCGGGAAAAGGGTTCAAACTGTGTCCCTCAGAGGTGAAGCATTCGAGAGCCTCGAGGCAATAGCATACATTGTGTGTATCTGCTCTGCGTTTACTAACATAATTATTGCCTGTGTGCATCTGGGTGCTGTGAGCAGGTTTTTTTTACCAGCGTCGGGTTTTGTTGCTGAGTTACGAGTCATTTTCTTTAACTGTATGCTTCTCCACTTCAGTGTCCATCAGTTGCATTAGGCAGACTCAGGTATATAGCCTGCTACTACTGCTGAGTGACTTTGCATTAACATTGAAACGGCCTAAGCTACACCTAACCTTATGTATAAAAAATTCATATTGCACAAAGTGACTTCAATGAACCCTAATATACAGTGAGGTACTTTGCACATAGTATTTGCAATGGGAAGGAGCCTCTCTACAGTATAAGAGTCCTTCTTCCAGTCTCTGTGCCTGCATTTCCCCCAATACTTTGTTTTGTCTGTTCAAGAGATGGCACATGATTCTGGTCACTCCACACACACTCATCGCGTTAGTAAGCGAACCAGTAAACACTCCTCTGCCCGGGGAGAAGATCCGCTGGAGAAATTAGACAGAGAGTTCTGTCACTGCAAGATACTTCATGATTACCGTGCACGAAATGCACAGGATTCATATGACACCATGGATAAGGTGGCACGTAAACTCGTTATGGATAATCTCAAGCGCGAGCTCGATAACGTCTGCAGTCTGATAGATGACCAAATAGTTCAAGAGATTGAGACAGTACTCAATAATCAAGAGCTTTTTACAATGCTCAAGAACATTGCTGACAAGATTCGGCAAAATCGAGACAAATTCGGACAAGAGCAGAAATCGATCCTAGACAAGGAAAGCAGTTTGATCTCGGAAGGAGATCGGGCTGTAGAGTCGAAGAACAAAACAGAATTAGAAGAAGTGATTAAAAGATTGAAAAAAGAATGTGGTTTAGCAGCATGGTGGGCAGAACAGACAAAGGGCATAAAATAATTCTGTTTTGTAGCTGCCAAAGTAATAAGAGGAAGACACTTTGAGTGGATGCTGTAATGAAGATATTCTTGTCTGTGGAGTCATTCATTCATGTTTAAACTAAAAATTAATAAGATGAAAAGAATATTTCAATTCTGAGTTTATTATAAAGTACACATATTAAGTTATGAGATAAGGTTTTGTAGACTGCTTAAGAGGAAGTAAGAAGAATTCACAGTATGTATGGTACAGTTGAGCATTAGCAAGCAAGTCTGTTTTTCACTTATGTTATGTTTCTTTACTAAGTTAAAACTTAGAAGACATTCTAACAACTATATGTTTCTCAACATCCTTAATTGTATATTAGAAAACATACTAGAGTACAATACACATAATTACAATCTGTACACATTTTAGTATTATATAAGTAATTTTCTCCTTTATTAGTGTTAAAATATATAAACTACTACTATTACTGAGTGACTCTGTATAAATGTTGAAACAGTTTAAACTACATCTAACTTTATACATTACTCTTATTACATAGTATACTTTTAATAAGATTTAATATGCAAAATAAGATTGTTACTTTTATAATTTAAGTTAATAGTTATATTATTATAACAGAGCTGAATAAAGATGAAAGTATTATTATACTTAATGAATGTAAATTTATATATTACTATTAGTTACATTTAAAGAGTAGTCACTCTTTTGAAAGTAAGATACTTTACATATAAACATTGCTTAAAGAAGAAGCTTCTTTATAGTATAAGAGTATATCTTTCAGTTTTTATACTTGTATTGTTTACAAGCTAATAATACTTAATTTATTAGCTTAAAAGATAGTAAATACATACAATTGTTACTTTATACATACTCTTAATACTAAGAGACACAATAAGACTTGCTCCTCAAATTTAGTAACTCAACAATTCTTTAGAGTACAGAGTTCTGTTATTAGTATAAAACTTACAGTTAGTAAAAAACTACTACTAAAAAAGGTAAAGACTGTAACAAGATAGACAAACAAGTAATTAACAAAGTATAACAAAACAAGAAGGAATTTAATCAAAGTAAGATTCTATTTTAAATAGAGAAAATGGTTTGACTTTGTAAAGTAAAAAGGTTAAGAGTATAAAGAATAAAAGTAAGTTAGAAATAGTAATTAAAGGATTGAAGAAAGAATGTAAGTTGAAAGAATGTAAACAGCTTGTAGAACTAATACTATATGAAATGTCTCTGTTCTGTAAACAATAAAATAAGATTCATTTGTTACAGTTCTGTGTTTGCTTCTTAGAATAATTACTAATATTCAAACTAAAAGTCAAAATGTTTTTAACAATATGTGTCTTCTAAATTTAGAAAATACAATTAGAAATACATTTATAAAATCTGTAATAATACTTTTTTAATCCTTATATTTATTTTAAATTAATAACACTCTGAAGGATTTTTTTATACACAACATAGATTAATGTATTTGTATTAGCAAATATTTCTGTAAACAAAAAAGTAAAATATTTATTAGTTATATATCTTGAAAAAGCAAAATAGGAGTTAAAGAAAGAATACAAACCAGACAGACTATATACAAGTTACTTTATTAGAGAATTGAAAGTAAAAGGTAGTTAAAGATGTTTTTGATTAATAGACAACCTTGTTAAGGAATACAAACAGTTACTCTTAGAAAGGCACAAAATTAAGCTTTCTGATAAAATGTATAAGAACTATAAGCATTTAGGAGCTAAAAGGTTCAATGGTAGTATAAAACTTGAACTATTGACAGTACAAAAATTCTGTATTGTGACAAAGTCTGGATTAATGTAATAAAGAAAAAATAAAAGTAATTATAGTACATACAATTCTAAGATAAAAGATGAGATTATTGTATTGATTACAAGGAGTAGATACAAAGTCTAGAGCAGCAGGGTACATATAGGGATGGCAGGAGCTGATAGAGTGTGGTGTAGGAGCAAAGTACATTGCAAGTATCTTCTATTTACTTAATTAACATAATTGTAACTTGTTTGCTTCTGGGTATTATATATAGAAATAGCCTCCATTGATTCTGGGTCTTGTTGTTGTTGAACTATAAGCTATTTCCCTTGACTGTATTCTCTGTTTTTTCGATTACAACAGTAGTAGGAAGAATGACTATTTCTAAAGAGGTATCCATGCTTCTGTTAAACATTAATACTCTTAATGATTGTAACAGAGCAGTCATCTTACTGTTGTGCTACATCACTCTTTAGATTGTAGCATACTTGATGTTCCTGTAATTATGTCCCTTTACATATAGCAGAACTAGCATTACAAATAATAGCAAACATGAAGACATGCAAAGACACTACTTTGGTGGATATTACATGATAATTAGTACCAAAGAGGATTGATTGTATGCATTTGTTAAGCTACTTTGTGACCAGAGATGCATGGAGCTAACAGTATTGAAAATATTTGTGTAAGATCATAGGGTAACTACATCTGATGAGATCAGTGTCACTTGTTTTAGCTGGAATGATAGTAAACACAATCAAACATATTACTATGTTCATGACAATCCCTTTGCTTACAGAATGACAGATTCTCTTCCTATCATGACCTTTACTACTACATCATCATTACTAGTATCCTAGTATAATGTTTCTGGTACAATGCTTCCATTATGCTGCTAGGATTAGCTACAACAGATGAAATACTACCTCTGTTACAAAGCAATTTGTTTTGCATTTAAAGACACATGGTAGTAGAGCTGTGTTCTCTGTCCTCAAGTTTGTATCATCTGTATCACTTTGACTCATCATTCAAGAGATAGCACATAGTCCCAGTCACTCCTCACACACTTCTCACATTAGTAAGCAAAACAGTAAACACTCCTCTGCCCAGGGAGAAGATCAGCTCGAAATATTAGAAAGAGAGTTTCATCACTTGAAATGACTTTATTGTTTGCAGGCACAAGATGCACAGGATTCATATGACATTATGGATAAGGTGGCACATAAACTTGTTATGAATAATCTTAAGTGTGAGCTCAATAATGTCTGCAGTCTGATAGATGACCACATAGTTCAAGAGATTAAGGCAGTACTCAACAATCAAGAGCTTTTTACAATGCTCAAGAACATTACTAATAAGATTTGGCAAAATTGAGACAAATTTGGACAAGAGCAGAAATCAATCCTAGACAAGGAAAGCAGTTTGATCTCAGAAGGAGAGTGGGCTGAAGGATCAAATGACAAACAGAAATTAAGGGTAGTGATTAAAAGATTGGATGAAGAATGTGGTTTAACAGTATGGTGGGCAGAGTATACAAAGGGCATAGAATAATCCTGTTTTGTAGCTGTCAAAGTAATAACAGTAAGACAATTTAACTAGATGCTGATATAGAGATATGCTTTCCTATAAAGTTGTCCATTAATATTTGAACAGAGATATAAAATGCTGAAAAGAATATTTCATTCATATTGTATTATATAATACATATATTAGGTTATGAGATAAGGTTTAGTGGTTTGCTTTGTCTCCTGATGTTACAGGCTCTTCATATACAGCAAGACTGCCTTGTAATTCTGTCTTAGAAATTTATAAAAAATACACTGTACAGTGAAGATAATGATATTTATAGTAAAGAAAGCCTTCCATTATTGTGTCCTACAGGGTAGAGAGACTGAGAAACACAATGGGTTGTAATGATTGTATTTATCAGACAGTATATATTATAACCCAGAAAATCAAGCATATCTTTCCTGTTAGTTATTCTAAGAAAACAGTCCTGTTGTAACGAAGACACGTAGCATATAGTCTGCTCTGATGATAACGTAGTGTCTTCACTATTCTTAGGCGTTACTTCCTATTTCTCTGACTTCGGGAATGTGTCCACGGATGATGTCTGCAGCTTGCTCTCCAATCACATACGCTAAACCTGCAAATCATTGCGAATGCAGGTCAAAGATGACTAATTCCATTGCACAGTGCAGGTCAAATTGAATACTTACTTTGTGTATGTGCTGCAACATGCAGCGGGGCAATGCTTAGATCTGCAACACGGATGTTCCGTGTCCCGTAGACTCGTAAATTTGCGTCAACTACACCGTTAAAGGTATGTGGAAGCATGCTTAGCGTTCCTGTAGCGTCTTATTATAAATGTTAACAATGAAAGCGAGAATAAGGGAAAAGTTCGAATGCGTACGAAACATTGCTCCAACGTTGTCTTTGAGAAACTCTTGGATAGGTCCGTCTCCCTTGATTAATGGGCCTGGTGCGACTTCGCGTGCTACGATTCAATGAGATAAGCTATTTGACAGGTGTACGCAAAATTAACAGTAATTTACAAATGATGTCCTTGAAGGGCTCGAGTTCAGCGATTTTCCGAATAAATTTGATCGTCTCAGCCATAACTTCGAGATCTTTGGTAAAATGAAGTTAGTAGAATATTTAACTTCGCACGAATTATATTACCAATGGGCTCCTCAAAGTAATGAGGATCTATCTCGGGCTGAACATGGGGATCCTTCGACGCAACATGCTTTTAATGTGTACAGTGGTTAGAGAAGTCGGCTTGTTAGTAACACGAAAAACAAGACTTACAATTGTCCCACGGCTGAATGGGCGAGTCAAATTCACACAAATAGTGACGTAGTTCTTCCCTGCCTCGGGAGCTTATGGAGGAAAAGGTCAGCCATTAATCTAATCAAATAACTGGCCAAATACTCACATCCTTTCCCAATCCATCCTGGAAAGCAGGCGATTTCACTTTCTCCTCCAGGGCCGTTCTCGAACAAGTCAAATAGCTTTTCGTATTGCTCGTAGAGTCCCAGAGGCAACGAGCCCTTCTCCTTTTTAATCTTAACGCACTCGTGTGCTCTGGTGATGATTTCACGTGCAGTCTCAGCAGAAGAAACAGCTGAAAGTGAGAGGAACGTGAATCCAGATAGACCCAGTCTACATGTACCCTCTCCCTTTGCACTATGTTGACTCAATTTAAACCGTATATAATGCAACATGCTGTTGATGGACTTACTGAAGAAGCAGCTGCTTTTCCTTGTACGCCGCGTCGGCGAATGAATCGAGAGTCTCAAAGTTGTGCTTCGGGTCCAGTTCTGAGTATAAATTGTCAAGACGCTCGATTCCACGAAGGTTGGGAATACTATACCAAAAATGACTCCACAAATCATATGTTCCTGCATGTTTTCACCGACTCCAGGAAGATTGGCTATCGCATCTATTCCAAGAGGACCCAGAATTTTTGGATTTCCGATTCCCGACAACTCCAGGATTTGAGGCGATTTCAAGGCGCTGAAGAATAGCCCATTATTTATCTCCATACGATAGAAAAACTCATACTCTACTCACCCAGCGCTTACGACAACCTCTTTCGCAGCAGAAACAGAATATACGTTTTCTTCGTACTCAAACTCGACAGCATAGGCTTTTACTAGGTCGTCTGATTCAGCTTTATGGCTTGTCCCATCAGTGACAATGCGATGCACTAGAGCACCGCAAAGGACACGAAGATTAGGCCTTGACACATTAGGATGATAAAATGCCTATGTTGACTAAATAAGCTCAATTCGATTTGATAGTAAGTGCGCCAAATACCGATGCCGCATAGCTCCGAGTCTGTGACTTGGGATCAAGAGTACATGGAGCCATCCATGTTCCGATCGGCTGCATGATGAATATGAATATTTTCATGAAAACTGAAGTGGAAAGGAACACATACATCACCATTATTCTAATATTCCAATAAATATTAAAACACCCAATTGGAATTCGTGAATCTGCAACAGTAGACTACAGTTCACGCACCGGATCTTTTGCGACTTTGATACCTGCGTTGAGCAATGCCTGTGGTTCCGAACCAAATTCATTCTTCGTGAACGTCTTCTTCATCGGGTCAGACGCACCTGATGGAACGGGATTTCGGGCCCAGCCACGACAGAAGGGAAAGTCATTTTAAGTGGTCCTGAGGAGCCATACGAATCGATATTGTATTTCTGCCTGTACTTCCTTGATAACTCTTCGTCCGGGGCTGTGAACCTACATCAACGAAGAAGTGGCTCCATGTACCATGCAACGCTCCCATGATAAACTTACCCTTCGCATTTCTTCGAATACTCATTGAATCGGTTCCAGTTCCAGCCAGGGTTTCCCAACTCCTCCCATGCGTCTATATCCGCCACAGGCGGTTTGTTCCAGACCTAGTTTGGAGTTGGAGATCTCAAGTGATCCATCCGCGACAGTTCTGGTAAACCGCGTACGTAGTAGTTAATAGCGGAGCTTCCACCAAGCGCTTTGCCGCGAAACCATGGAATTGAACGATTATTTGCGTTCTTTTGAGGAACGGTTGTAAAGTCCCAAGAATAACGCGGATCGCCGAGATGTACCCCGAACTGAGCCGGAATGTCTGCAGCGTAAATATTGGGAATCGTAAGCAACAAAGTTAGGTATTACGCGACAGTATGATAAAATTACCGATAAGTGGATCTCCAAGTCGCTCGAGTCCGGCTTCGAGCACTACAACTGAAATATTTGGGTCTTCGGACAGACGAGCTGCAATCGTAAGGCCCGCAGTCTAAAGTATACGTAGACATGTCATTAGTGATTCTCGTACGTGCGCGGATGTGCACGTACTCCTCCTCCTATTAAATGGCACGAATGTAAAAAGTTAATGCGTTCAATAGTTAGAAGGGATGAATACCAATGATGACATAGTCGAAAGTCTTGCTAGAAACGTCTTGAATAGCTGCGCTCATGTTTCAACCCGTGAAGGTAGGAAATAATTGGGTGATGGGTTTACAGAGAGAGAAACACTTTGTAATTATAGCGCCCATACTTATGTACGTACGAAAACGTGAGTGACTCAGGGTGAGACATCTACGTTAAACCGAATGGAGCAGCTGGATTATGAATTTTGCTCAAGAACCATGCACAGCTAGACTTTGAAACATTTTGATGACAAGCAGATGTATCCTTCAAGCGAGTTCGAGCGCGGTGATGGTACACGAGAACGAGAGCACTCCTTTCAGAATCTCCTGAGACCTGAGTCCCGAGTGAGGGCAAAAGTCTGTCCCGTGATGCCTGATTCGATCACGGGACCGAAAGTCATGTCAATTATGTAAGTAATCCTATCTCGTCTGTCCAGTACTCAGCACTCTCTGGCTGACTCGCCCATCGTCTGCAGTCTTGCATCCTGACCGGGGTACTACGGTGAACGTTGGTGGCCTCTGGAGGGGTAAGCTCAAAATATGCATGTTCGCGAAGGCTAGTGCATACTATTTTGTCAGCGCAGAAAGTCAAAGTCAAGAATTACATGGTGGCCAGACCAGTCTGAAGGGTGTAATGTCGACGAAGCGTGGTCCACAGCGTGAGCTTGCCTGAGTTGAGATAGGCTGATTCCACCTGACAGAAACTTCCGCTAGCTGAGGATGCGGGCCCCTCAAAGCGCCTACGAGCAGAAGACGATAATGAAGAATATCTCGAATTGGAACCGGAATTCCCTGACTCTCCCGTGGAGACCTCACTCGTCCCGAAAGGTGCTACAATCAATTTCAGTGCGTTGACACGCAAACTAGCGGAACAGCGAAGAGAGGCCGAAGACGAGGAAGACACTGCAATGGGCTCATCTACCTTCGCAGCGCATCGACGCGCACAAAACAAACTCGTTTCGCATATCTTCGCAGACCAGGACTTCTCGTGGCTGCATCTTAAGCCTGATCATTCATCTCGCCCATTGTGGATTAGTCCGGAGGATGGATACATTATTCTTGAGGGCTTCTCACCGATAGCAGAGCAGGCGCAGGATTTCTTGGTGGCGATTAGTGAGCCAGTCAGCAGGTGCGTCCATTGGCAAGAGTCTCGTCTTTTCAATAAGGTTGAACGGTATACACAGGCCAGCGTTTATTCATGAATACAAGCTCACTGCGTATTCTCTCTATGCTGCCGTCTCAGTCGGGCTGCAGACGGAGGATATCATAGAGGTAAGTTCTCACTCGCCGTACTGAGCTCGTGGAACTCACGTATATGATTTAGGTTTTGAATCGTCTATCAAAAGTATATATCGCGCTTTTTACTTCTTTTTACGGTTGCTAATGTGTCGAAGGTCCCCGTTCCCGATACAATCATTGACTTCATTCGCGAAAGAACGATGTCATATGGAAAGGTCAAACTCGTCCTCAAGCATAACAAATACTTCATAGAATCGAGTCATCCAGACACATTGCAGCATCTTCTCAAGGATCCCGTCATCCGTGGTGCCCGAGTCATTCCCCAGAATCAGCCTGGCGATGCAGTCAGTGTTGCTCTCATGACGTCCAAAGCACCATCCAAAGCCGGACTTGTGATACCAGGGACGAAGGAAGCAACAAGTAATGGGCAGGTCACGGATGCTGCAAACGCTAACAAGCGGTCGGACGTGGACTTATTTACGAGCGTCGTCGGAGTTGATAATGATGAAATTGACGAGGACGATGACAACGTACACGCATTTGAGATTGATGATTCGAAGATCGACGTAGGTGGTAAACCCATTATTCCATGCCTTCCTCTTACATATCTCTGTTGCAGGATGTCAAAAAACGATGTAACGAGCTCGAATATCCTATGCTTGAAGAGTACGACTTCCGGAACGACACCGTGAATGCTAATTTAGATATTGATCTCAAACCGTCAACTGTGATTCGCCCCTATCAAGAAACGAGTTTGAGTAAGATGTTCGGGAATGGGTGTGTTTGATTCCTGTTCTTCTCTACTATGTCTTATCCACTTTTTACAGGCGCGCTCGCTCTGGGATCATCGTGCTTCCATGTGGAGCAGGGAAGACCCTTGTAGGAATCACGGCGGCATGCACCATCAAGAAGTCTTGTCTTGTCCTCGCCACGTCATCGTAAGTTTGATTAGATCGATTCATACCATGTGTTTATCATTCGTTACAGGGTATCTGTTATGCAATGGAAGCAGCAGTTCATGCAATGGTCTAACGTAACGGAGAAGCAGATCGCGGTTTTCACGGCTGATCAGAAGGAGAGGGTAAGAACATGCCAAATTTTATGTTATTTCGCATAATCTCATGTCCTATTAGTTTGCGGGGGACAGTGGTATCGTTGTTTCAACATATTCAATGGTCGCAAATACGCACAACCGGTCTCACGAGTCCAAAAAAATGATGGAATTCCTTCAAGGACGTGAATGGGGTTTCATTCTACTGGACGAAGTCCACGTTGTACCGGCCGCGATGTTCCGGCGGGTAGTTACGACAATCAAAGCTCATGCAAAACTCGGGCTTACCGCTACACTTGTACGAGAGGATGACAAGATTACGGATCTGAATTACATGATTGGTCCGAAGCTCTACGAAGCAAACTGGATGGATCTTGCTGCGAAGGGTCATATCGCGAACGTGCAGTGTGCAGAGGTCTGGTGCCCAATGACTCCCGAATTTTACCGTGAATATTTGCGCGAGCAGACTCGAAAGCGTATGTTACTGTACTGCATGAATCCGAACAAGATCCAGGCCTGCCAATTCCTTATCAAATACCACGAGGATAGAGGAGACAAAATCATTGTGTTCTCCGACAATGTCTACGCTCTTGAGGTATGTTCTTCAATTATGTTTTATAGAACCTAGCTAACAAGCAAATAGCACTACGCACGTAAACTCGGGAAACTATATATTCATGGTGGAACATCGCAAGTTGAGCGTATGCGGGTCCTGCAGCACTTCCAACATCATCCGAAGGTCAATACTATCTTTTTATCCAAAGTCGGCGATACGTCTATCGACTTGCCCGAGGCGACGTGCCTCATACAAATCTCATCACATTTCGGCTCAAGAAGGCAAGAAGCACAGCGGCTTGGACGAATCTTGCGTGCCAAACGAAGGAATGACGAAGGTTTCAACGCGTTCTTCTATTCACTTGTATCGAAAGACACACAGGAGATGTTCTATAGCACTAAACGTCAGCAGTTCTTGATTGACCAGGGTTATTCCTTTAAAGTCATCACACATCTTGATGGCATCCAATCATTACCCGATCTTGCATACCGTACGCGCGACGAGCAGATTGAGCTGATAAGTTCCGTACTTTTGGCTAACGAAAGCGATGCTGAACTTGGGAATGATGTACGCGCAGGCGAAGGCGATTTACCTGGGACCGTCACTGCAAAGGACTTTGGTGGGCCTGGACAACGGGGTGGCGCCTTCGGTGCCAGCAATGTGCCCGGTGCGAAGCGAACAACTGGTAGCCTCGGTGCACTGAGTGGTGGTGCACATATGAGCTACGTTGAACAGAATAAGTCTGCGAATAAGAAGCTGGCTAAGGATTCTGTGAATGCTCCTTCGAGGCATAAACTGTTTGCGAAGAGGGATAAGCAGCTTGCGCAGGCGAAGAAGGATGCGAGGAAAGAAGTGCCAGGAGGAAGGTGATTTGGCTTACAGGATTGGATTTTTACATGCATTTGGCGACTAGACTTATGTTGCAATCTGTATTTTGTACCTCAAGTTTATGCACGAAAGTCATACCAACAGTATTGTAATCTAGAGGTTATACTACGAAAGGCTAGGTTTGTCTATTCTGGGAAATATACCTTGATGACAAACAACGCCTTAATGACGCACGAGGAAGCCGTCAAGCAACCCAAATTCTCCGTCACTTCACATCCAGCCTCTCTCTGTAAAACAAGAAATATACTAAATAAGCTTCGGGTTGAATCGGTTATGCAACGCTGATTGAGGTCATCTGGGACGTATCTGCTGCCGTGTGAGCGCACAATGACGGACCGACATCAGCCGTGCTTATATCGACGAACGCCATCTGTACCTCCGACGACCTCCGTGAATACATCTCCTTTCTCCCGAAAGTATCATCGATGGCGTTCCAGCTGCCGCAAACGCATAAAGCTGTCAGGCTTCACCCTGCGGATTTGACAATTCACGTCGAGGAGATTCAGGCCCCGGAGTGAGTACTTTTGGAAGTGAGACACGTAAAAGATGCGCTACATGTGCTGATGATACGTGCGTACGTAGAATCGAGCATCCTGATGATGTGGTTGTCAAAGTCAAGGTTGGGCATGCTTGTTCTGCGGTCCGGTCAGATAGGAAGGTGTAGTCTGATTGATAATTTGATACGTTATTGCAGTTGGCCGGTCTGTGTGGAAGTGATCTTCATGGATACAGAGGGCATGAGAAGATCCACGAGATGTACGTTTCGCCGAAGTCATCCTACTCTAAATGTATAAGCTAATTTGTTCGTAGAATCGTTACAGGCCATGAATTTGTTGGAGAAGTTGTAGCGCTAGGCTCAAACTTCTCTCCAAGCGCGACAGGAAGGCCACTGCTATATTCTACACTCAAGGTCGGAGACTTTGTCGTTTCGCCGTTTAGCTCGTCATGTGGTGAATGCCAGTACGTCAATTGGCAACAATACTAGTTATGACAGTACATTTAATTCACTTTAATATCCATAGCTTCTGTCGAATTGGTTTCACGTCTCGCTGCGTTCATCAACTACTCTTCGGTTCTGAGGCACTTCCTGGTGGACAGGCGCAGTATGTGCGCGTTCCGAGAGCAGGAGGCGTCTTATTTGTGATCAAGTCAGCTTCTCCATCTCCACAACATCATAATGAGCTTCTGGAGAACCTCTCCGACCCATCACTGCTGTTACTTGCGGACATCTTGCCGACGGGGGTGTTCACCGCACTTCAGACTGTACAGCATCCGAACATACTCCCGATCATAAAGGGAGAAAGATTCCCGCTTGCATCAGTAGAAGCTCTTTCAATTCCCGGTTTGGGAGAAACAGTGAATTTGAAGAATCGATTACTCGATCCGTTATGGCCCAACATGTTAGAGGAAGATCGCATTCTTACTATTGCGGTTGTAGGTCTCGGACCAGTGGGCATAGTGCGTCTACGTCGTTCTGTCTGTTTTGTCGCCTTCCTGATTGTAGTTATTCTTCTGATGTTAGTGCGCGATAATAGCCCTCCTGGACATACTGAGCGGACTCAAAGTACGCGTGCGCCTCTTTGCGATCGATTTGGTCGAAGCACGTAGGAACAATGTCCGCGTGGTGTATGACGCTCTTCCACCTGATGCACGGGGTGATTGCGAACTTGTCGTTTGCACCCTAGAAGAAGCCGAGAAGTTCATCATGGATGCAAGTAGCGGAGCAGGATGTAACGCCGTATTAGAGGTATCTTCTATCTTCCATGATCGTGATTCACCATCGAGACTAAGCATAGCTCTTGTATCTGTCAGATCGTGGGTAACACAGCAGCGTTGGCGCTAGCTTACTCCCTGATCCGCCCGTTCGGTGTCATAATTTCTGCCGGAGTGCATCAAGCGCCTCCGCTCCCTTTTACAGGCCGGCAATTTTATAATAAGAACGTTTCACTTGTGTTTGGAAGGTGTCCTGTGCGCACCGTGTTCCCATTTGCTGTGGATTTGCTGAGAAAGAGGCAGGATGTATTTGGCGGTGGAGGTGAAGATGGAAAGGCAAAGAGCATTGCGGGAGTTGAGCGTGTGATGAGCATTCAGAGCGCACCAGAGGCGTATGCGAAATTTGCGAGAGGTGAATGGGGGAAAGTTGCATTTGATCCTTGGGTCTAAGTGATCTAAGTCTTATTCATTGTGAAATGTACTATTAGCTTTGTACTGTTGGTTGGTTGGAAGAATTTTCTTATCATACTGAAAGGATGAGTATTCGTACGTATCGGAACAGCTGTCGTTCCGTAAATTAGCATGGGATTGGTACTTGTAACTCAATGTACAATTCGCATCAGGATCCACCTTCCTGACAGGAAGGGTTGAATATTACTTCAAAGTACAGAGAAAATATAGACCCAACCTACTATGACAGCAAAATATATCATTAATGCACAACGTGTTGTTTCCTCGCTTCTGTTCTGATCATTACTTACTACTTGCTGGGAATTTAAAGAATGTCACTTTTAAACTGGCAGAAGCTCACAGATCCAATAAGTGTAGAAGGTTGGTTGCATTAATATTAACCCAATCAAGGAGTAAGTTTGACTCAAATGTCATAAATTTTATCTTTTTATATATGTATATTTACAAATAAGGGGAATTGAGGCATACAACAATCTGAGACCATAGTATACTGATTCCATCATTACAACTTTAGAGTGTTTCACAGTAATCAATTCTATAAACATGAGTCAGATTTGATTGTACACTTGTAATGGTTGATTTAGATCTTTGTACTGTGAGTACTCTTCATTCATTTTATAAATATTGATATATACAATCACTATGACAAATGTCCATATCAGTACTTCCAAACATACCTGTATACAAAATAAAATGCTGGGCTTTATTACTATGGAGTACTATCCATGCAGGTATACCTAACTGAACATTGATCCTGAGAAATACTCTCTAATTTACTTCCTCTCTGGTAAAATTTAACAACCCAAAATCATCATAATGATTGATATCATGTACTGAGAATAGATAGTATTAAAATTTTCTTTGTTATCCTGTTTAAGGACATTACATTTCTATCTCAAAAATAATCAAACCAAACATGATCTGGGTCTAAGGTGTGGAGCATTTGGGTATAGCCTGTGAAACTGGTCCCTAGCACTGTGATAGAAGCCAGGTCCGAAGATATCAGGGGCAGATTGCCTAAATATGTATCAAGAGTCCCTTACTAATAATATTTAATTGTATTACTTGTTAAATACAAATCATGTTTAAATAGCCTTAGCCTCTAGAGAAATTGGTTCTATACTCTTTACAAATCTATTCTTTAGTAACAGTACTTCTGTATTCTATATCTCTGAAAGAATCAGAGTCTAAATACAGATTTCGAAATTGCATTCTCTTACACATTGAATATGGCTTTGTAAGATCATATTACTATGAAGACCCATCATGATACTGATACAATCACATCATTTATACCTTTGTTGTGATCAATCTTGATATTGTTTATCAAACTCCACAAAAACATTATATTTAAAGATATAGGGTGACACAGTTAGTATCCCTTCCTTCTGTAATTCCCTCAACAAAGGAGACCTCTTTTGCTTCTCTACCACTATTATGACTGATATTGACCAATTTAGTAATTTACCTCTGACTGAGCAGATACAACAGTTAAGGAGAGCAAGTCATGATTTGCAGACAACCAGAGTGTGTATCCTCTCTTTTAAAATTGTCTTATTAAATTAACATTGTTGTCTACTACTAGTACATTAATGGTATGTATATTATGAGCCAGTACAGAAGGCTTTAATATTGACATACAACAGTTGCTACAGTATCTGTTATGCTTTTTGACATCCTAATAACAATTGATCAGTAAGTATTTAATCTGTATCTTTCATATTTTCCAGTCTCTAATATATCTTTATCAAGAGAGGTTTTAATAACACTAGTACTATATGTTTATTGTGAATAACTTGTTTAATCTAGGCCTCTTTCATATGGTCTACAAATTGGTCCCTTGGCAAGATACTTTACTTTAGCACACGTTATCCTGCTGTAATTGAGGGAGTTTTGTGGCTGATCTGTAAGTAGATGCTACTTAGAGACTATGTTACAGTCCAAATTTATTCATATAAATTATTAAGATTCTGTAGACCTCAATGCATCACCAATAGTATGTCCCTTAGTATTGACATGCAGGATGACTTTTATTGACTTGTATACTATTACAGTTGTCAGTAAATATTTCCAATGTCTCTAATACTTCTTATAGTCAATTTTCGTATGTAGTTGCAGATTCGAAACGTATCTGGGTACATGGTTTGTTGCTCCTTTTGCTTGGTAATTCTTAGGACACATTGAGATTTTCTACATCCAGGGCGTCTTGGGCATTCTTCATTCCACTTCAGAGTATGTATTTACTTTGCTTTCTAGCTTGAAATGATATTTAGGCATCAATATCTCAGTCATCATTGTTCTTCGAACTTCTGCAATATGGGGCTGTAAACGTGTGGTCACCGCTTTCCTTGGAATAGTCTGCATTGTATGTCTACCTTGTCTATACACTATTTTTTCCGAGGCTGATAATCAATACGCAACAATAGACAGCTGATTTAACTGCTCTCGTGTTACTTGCAAAGGCAATGAAGCGTTTCAGATGTATGTATGCCCTTTGAAATAGTAATATATTGTAGTTACTAATGAAATAACACAGTCACATTTGACAATGTGTGCGCTTCTTTTCCAGATTCTGAGCTTGCCGCTTAGAACTAATTCTGACTTGTATTTCTACCTATTGGTATTGTAGTGACCTTTATCCTTTGCTTGGATGTCTTACTGGTACACTGCATGATAGTACAACAGGGACAGTACCTGTGTGGTCTGCTGTTCTTATCTTTGATACAACCATCTTCATATTAACATTTGCGAAGGCCATTTACTCTTGTAGGTCTTTGATTCACAAGTACTGTTGCAGAGTTATATTTTACTAAGTACCAATACTTTTGATGCCACAGATAAATATTCACACGGTCGATTACTGACAATGCTTATACGTGATGGCTTTGTCTACTATGCAGTCATGCTTGGTGAGTGAACTAGCTGCTGGAATTCCTAGATCTGGGCCTGAACTTTGGTACAGCACTTGGGATAGCCAATCTCATTTTCCTTTGTGCAATGTCCATGACACGTTCTGGTCTCATCAGTTGCTTACTACCTGTGCTACGTGCAAGTGTCAGTGTTATTGGTAGCCGACTGGTGCTAAACCTTCGTGGAGCAGCTTCACAAAATGTGGAGGTTAGCATAAGAGCAGGTGGAAATGTGGGCAGTATGAAACTGGTAGATCTCTCATACATGAGTTTCGGAGGTAGCACAGCTCTCGGTACGGTGCCTGAACATGAACAAGCAACTACTGCTGAAGAGCTTACTGAGTTGGAGGAAGTCAATCACACAAATATGTCCAACGTCTAACGAGGCACTGGAGAAAGGAATATTTCTAGGAACTAACAGGATGTTAAACAAGTAGTCCACTGTATCCTTCCGTACAAAATTCGTGCAACATCTTTATTTTTGTGTCATCCAGTGTGCGAATTCGATCAGTGCCCTGCATTTTGATCGTCCAACAAATCAACACTCTGTTTCCAGAAAAGAAAAGAAAGGTGTACACTCACCGCGTCGGACGACCAGTCATCCCCTTATACTGGTACGGCTCACTCCTCGTCGCCTCCATACTCCCCGCAATATCAATATGCGCCCATCTCAGTTTCCCACTTTCTGTCTTTCCTTCCATCTCACTTTCACTCCCACCGTCTTCGTCCGCAATTCCATCGACGAATGAACGAAGGAAAAGCGCAGCAGTACAACAACCACCTGGTTTTCCTCCTGTGTTGCAGAGATCGGCATTGGAACCTGTTATTTGAGGAGAATAAAGGGAGGAGAGAGGCATCCGCCAGAAGAGGTCGTGTTCGTGTGTTCCGGCTGTGTTGAGTTCTGTCCAGAGGCTTTCTGAAGTCTATTATGTATATAAATTAGCGGGGAAAAGGAAGGCGATTAGGATATGGATGTGGTGTGGTGGAAGGTAAGAATACGTACGGAGAAGACACCGGAGTAGACGTTTCCGAGGCCAACTTCCATCGCTCTGCAAATTTCAGTAAGATTGATGTTTAAGGCGAATTAAAAGGGAGGGGTATGCTAACCCGGTGAGAGTAGCAACGTCCACGAGAGTATGAACGTTGAACGTCGTTGATGTGTAATGCAACGCATCTGCGATAGAAAATTTACCGCTTCAGTCCGCCACCAGCTTTGTGGAGAAGGAGAAAAGAATACGAACCAGCTAGTATTAACCTTCCTTCTGCATCCGTATTGTCAATCTCGATCGACTTGCCGTTCATCGCATACACACTTCAATTAAAAAACCAGAGATTGCGTTAATGCCGTCAAATAATTTAGTTAAAGACCAGAAAACATTACATGTCCCCAGGTTTATTTGCAGAAGGACCCGGCATGTTTTCACACAACGCGACGACAGTAACGACATTTATCGGGACTTTTAAACGTGCAAGGCCGAGCGTAGCTGCGCAGACTGTTGCTGCTCCACCCATGTCTCCCCGCATGAGCTTCATGCCCTAGTAAGTCAATTATAAATTCAAGTAAAAGGTATAAGATATTAGAAGTTTTTGCAGAGGCAAAGGCGTGGTATACGTACTGGACCGGGCTTCAGAGAGATCCCTCCAGAGTCGAATGTTATTCCTTTTCCGACAAATGCAAGAGGTTGTGACGTCGAGTCCACACTGGTGCCTTTGTAATGGCTAGCAACAAAGACGTGTTAGAACATAGAGTCAAATACAAGGGATACCTGGTCAATGTACATTTCGAGTAGTTTAGGGGGCTCAGACGATCCTTTAGCGACGCTGAGGAAAGAGCGCTGCAAGATAACTCATGAGTTGTATCATTCAGAAAGGGAATTAGATGGCATACCATTCCTTTTTCTCGTATCCATTCTATAAAATGGATGTACAGGTCAGGGATGTGACGGAGGCGATGCGGCGAGAATGTACATGCCTTGATCGCGGACTATTATTTCGAGGTTTTCAAGGCCCTCTGCTTCTTTCTTTATTCGTTCACAGAAAAGCTATTTAAAGGATGATATCAACACTGCAAGATGATGGTTGTGTGTGAACCAGAAATGAACGTACCGTTGGTGTCATCATGTTCCCAGGGAGTTCCATGAGCTAGATATAGAGGACGTGTGTGAGATTGGCAATACCAAATACTTGCATGAGAAATGTGATACCTCTCTTGCAAGAATCTGCGCTTCAGCGTAGACAGTACCTCGTGTCCAAGCATCTGTGTCACTTGATTGTGAAGGGAGTAAAGTGATATCTAGCAAAGCAATTGATTAATTTGAAAGCTATTTGTGGCATGACACTTACCTTTTCCCGGGTTCATATCCTTCCCTGTCTTGAGTGTGAACGCGTGCAACCCAAGCTTCGCACCGACCGCAGCAGCGTGCACATCAGCAGGATCACCCCCAGCATCCACCTGTACGGTCTTCACCCCTGCGCTCAGAGCTACGTCACGAATATTCGTGATACCCTTCCCTGCAGCTTTACGAATCACTTCTCTCCGCGCATGTAGTGGTTTCTTCGAGAAAGACGAAGAGTCGCCAAGGCTGACTATGCTTTTTATCGAATTATCATCCCCGAATATAAGGCGTGAGTCGAGGGGTTTAGTTGAGTCGGAGGTTCGAGAGGTAGACCAGAGTCTGTGTGCTGCTTTGGAGTTTTCTTTCTGACTCGTTGACTGGTCGGGATGAACGAAGGAGAGGTAGGCATCTGGAGAGGTGGACATTGTGCGTGAGGAGATGAAAGTTACTTGGCGATGAGAAAGGAGAGCGAGGCGGGATGCCGCTCTGAGCATTGCATTCACTGTATTATTTGAAGTCCAAAAATCCTTTGTAGCGCTGCTGGCAATTATGTATGATCGACGAATGATCAACGCTCTTTTCTTAGCATGTAGGGTGTTTCTCCGAGCGGGCCGTACAGGCATTGGACGTTCCTTTAAACACCAATTTTGTTTTCCCCTGCATTTCTTTCCACATCAAAAATTTACTTAAAAATTTATGTATCTAATGATTATATGTATAATACTATATGCCTGAATTTTTCCAAGCTATTAAGTGCTGTAAAAAAATTAATATGAAGATAAGAAAAAAGTGAGATTTTGTCACGAAAGTCGTTCCTTTGAACACCCCTGTGACACTCCATCACACTGGCATGCATTCAACCTGTCCACCCCTATCTTCTCAACTCGCGCTCCTACGTTCACTCTTGGCTCACTCCTCTTACTCTCATTTATACAGGCAATTGTTCTATAGTCATATCTGCACCTTCAGGCGAAATTCCTGCATTATTTGTTGTGTCTTCACAGGTCTAGGTTGCATTCACCACATCCAGACACTGCTTCTTCTTCATCAAGGCCCCTCTCTCGTATTATGTTGTCCTGGACTTGTTTTTTTGTTGGTCTAGAAGGTCTAGGGCTCTAATAAGCCCTTGGGAGCTCTCCTTCCCTCCAAGTAGAGCATTTAGCCTGCCATTTAGCAAGCTCTTTATCATAGTGAGTCTTGATTTGTTTCCATTCACTTTCAATCATATCATTAACTTCCTTCTTCCTTTTAGCCTCCTCCTTTCTTGCCTGGACCTCCTTCTCTTCCCTTTCCCTGTATTCCTTCTTCTGCCTGAGCTTTTCCCTTGTCTCATCTGAGGTCATAATCTTTAGCATTTCATCATCAAATATCTGTGAGTTCTCTGTTATTTTTCCTTTCTCCTTCTTGTATAGAGCATTCTGGAGCCTAGCATTAAGAAGGGAGGCCAGAACAAGCTGTGCTGACTATAGAATAGGACTGTTAAGAGATGAGGAACAAAAAGAGAGAAAAAATTATTTATTTAGCAAATGTTACAGACTAATACCCTCAACCAATGTGTCATTAGGACTGTAGGTCAGTGTAGATCAGTGCAGATCAATGTAGATCAATGCCAATCATTTTACTCTCTTGTCATGCTTTTTGAGCATTTTTAACAAATTACACAATATTAATTTAAGGACTGGTCCATTCAATATGATAAAACATACATATTGTAGCTCTGAAGTAGAGTAATACAATAATATAATTTTTATTTTGAACACTGTAGTATAAGTAGTAGTAAAAAAATTTGTCAGTAGTCTCATATTTGGAATTCATTCAATTTCAGCAGTATTGAATTTCTATACACTTTTCTACTGAATCAATTTCCTTCAGAATTCATATATATATAGTACATGTATGTATCTACACTTCTCTATTTTTTTGAGTTTATTGGTTGAGTTATGCATGAATTAGAGGGGGGTGTTCAAAGGAACGTCCCTGTTTAAAGGAACGACCAATGCCTGTACCTCCGAAGGATTTTATCTTACCAGACCCTGAGGATCTGGTAGGGACTGACAGTTCTTCATGGTAAAAGGTGTGAGACAATAAACGCATTGAGATGACTACTAAATACAATAAACATGAAGCCTAACAAGATCGACAGGGCTCTAATCACCGAGACAACATGGTGAACTCTGCTGAAAATAATCTATGTTGTGCACGTGAAGCAAAGTGAAGTCTATTCCGTTTATACAGCAATCAAGAAAATTTAACTTTACACGACTTGAAATGACATGAAAGGGCATGTGGGCGTGTGTACTTCATAGCATCATGGGCGTAAGTAAAATTCAAGACAAAGCAATCGCGAGCATCAATCCGAATGTGATCAGAGTAATGACAACCATTGCGAAGACGATTGACCAAACGACCAGATTTGCAGTTGGGAAGTTCCCGTTGATTAGGGCTTTTTGCATACTGAAGAATCGGAGGACGGCTAGATGAAATGAGGATTATAAGGATACTGTTATGCTTTATGGAGTAGAGGTAACCCACCGATGCTCATGATACACATACCAAAAATTTCTATAACTGCACCTAAAATTTTCCCGAAACGTTCGAGACGCATGGGTACGCTTGTCGGTGTCAGAGCTATCAGTTGTACGAGTGCTAACAAGCAAACAAAGCTACTTCGTTAATGGAGCATACGTCTAAGTAGGCATATGTATCACACACCAACACCTGTAGCAGCACATCCTAATGAAGTACGAACGTACGCCAGGAACGTCCGTTCGGCGGCAAGATGATCGCGCGCAACGCTGCCGCTATTCTCGAGAAGGAGAGATGGAGAAAAGGACGAGATTCGCTTGAGCCATACTGGACAGGGTTTCCGTCGTCGTCCGTGGGTATTAGACGAAGATGAAGTGGACGATGGAGTTACTTGGTCCTGGTCTTGGTGCTGATAGCCTGAGGTATCTTGCTGTTGCTCCTCGGGGGGTCTTTCCTTTACTTCGTGAGGTGCGAAGTCTGTTCCTAGAGTTTTTTCTTCTAGCACTACTTGCTCAGGCATCCTTGAAGACCGCACTGTCTATAACTCTACAGTCGATGCTGTAGAACACATGGCCAGAAGACATTAGATAACGTGCCCATGATTACGCATTGCCTTCCTTCCTTATCAAGAGCCGATAAGTCCTCGTTGCAAGGAAGTCCATCGTCCACTGAGTTTAAGCCATTGTTTGAGCAACCACCTGAGAGAAATATCACAGGTAGCAGTGTAGCAGCGTCAAAGATGAGAATAAGACGCTCTGCACAGCCGTAGTAACGAGAATAGAGCGTTGGCGGATGTCGTGCTGATCGACACAAATGGCGTTATTTTAACCCTACCCTTAGCTTGCTTTATAAGAATATATTGCTGCCATGACTGTGACGTAACGTCGTGTATATTATGTACGGCAAGCGTTGACGCGTTCCAACTTCCTGCACAACTCATCGGTTGCCGTGTCTCTTCGTCACCCTGCTAATGTTTTCTCTACTCTTGACCCTTAGTCTGTGTTCTTCTTTGCTTATGTCTCTATTCTAATCTTGTACATTCAAACTGGCGTGTAATCTACCTACTTACACTAAGACTATGACCATCTTGCTGTTAGAATAATGCAGATACTCTCAGATCTTGCTCTTCTCACTTTCTCACTGACTAATTGACTACACACACTGAGTCACTCGGTTTATTTTTGCTTCATAAGCCTGTATCTAAGTTCTGTTTAAGTATGCTTATTTTGCTGAACGCCCTTGCGTTCTCGACGGCGTCAAGCAAAACAAGGATAATCTAATTCATGGCAACTCTTGCAGGCAAGACTGTCCTTGTTATTGGTGGTTCCTCAGGCATCGGTTATGGTGTTGCAAAGTCTCTCTTATCTCCTGTGCTACTCGTGTCATCATTGCTTCTTCGACTCGGGCAAAAGTGGACTATGCACTTGGAAGGTTGAAGAATGATGTCTCTGCTTCTGAAGCAACAATTGAGGGATCTTTGGAAGGCGAAGTGATAGATGCGAAAAGCTCTGACTCTGTGAGGGCATTGTTGGCCAAAGTGGGTGAGGTGGATCATCTGGTGTGGACGAGTGGTGATGATCTCCGGCTTGGATTCCCACATATTGACCTCGACAAGAATAGAGGTATGTACTTTCGTGTTACAAAAAAGTATAACGCCCATTGATACAATATGTTTCTTGGATCTCCTTGCAGACGTCTTCGACGTACGCTTCTGGGGAGCATTCACAGCAGCGAAGGTCGCTCAGATCAAACCTGGAGGATCAATCACACTGACTATCGGTGCTGTTATCGCGAAACCTTCCAAAGGTTGGTCACTCGTCGCAGGAATAATGGGTGCGGCTGACTCGCTCACTCGCGGTCTCGCGGTAGACCTCGCTCCTATTCGCGTGAACGTGGTTGGTCCTGGCTTGGTCAAGACGGAGGTTAGTCCTTATTTTTCCTTTTATAGTGATCCGTGATTCCATTCTGCTGACGCTTGTGCTTTATCTATCTAGCGCTAGGATACGCTCCCCCTTGAGGCGAGAGAAAAGATGTATGACGATGCTGCGAAGGCTCTTCCTGTGCAGCACGTTGCTGAACCCGATGAAATTGCCGAGGTGTACCGTTGCCTTATGAAGTAGGAATCTACATGTTTTGTTTGAGCGAGCTGCACTAACAACGGCCAATGTACAGGTGTGGATTCATTACAGACCAGTGCATAGAAGTCAACGGTGGTGTGAGGCTTGCTTGACCAAACAATTAAGACCCGTTCTATCATGGTGTTTGGAATGAATTCATGTACTATCTTCATTTTTCCTAAAAGGTTTGAAACGCATAGATCGAAAGTCTGTCTTAGTGTTGTTATTTTTTTTTAAAGAAAAAGTGGTATACCTTTTATGATTTACAGTGCCTGTATAAACTTAAGTAGCATGAATTTTCTCCTGCTTGGCAAATTACAGTGTCCTTTTGATTTGCGCGAGTAATAATTACTATACCTGCGTATTACATAACTTTATTTCACAGCGTGTTCACTAGCCAATGCCTCATACCACCTGCGAAAGCTTACATGCCAACTCTAGTCTATTTGTCATACCTCTGCCGTCGGTTTTAGTCTGTGTTTTGCTTTGCTTTAGCTAGGGAAAAGAATGCCTATTGTTATCTTGTGTATTCGAAATAATACAGAATCTGTCAGCTTACACTAAGAATATGAACACTATGTTTCGGAATCGTGCTGACATTCTCAGACCTCGATCTTCTTGCGTTCTCACTGACTAATTGACTGCGTTCACTCGCTCAGCTCGCGCTTCATAAGCATCACTCTGGGACCTGCTTGAGTTCGTTTAGCTTGACCAACGTCCCCACAACCCCGCACACTCAAGCAAAATAAGAACAATCTTTGCCAATGGCAACTCTTGCGGGGAAGACAGTCCTTGTTGTCGGCGGTTCCTCAGGCATAGGGTACGGCGTTGCGAAAGCCTCTCTTATTTCGCGTGCTTCCCGTGTCATTATTGCTTCCTCTACCCCAGCGAAACTGGAGTCTGCGCTTGGAAGACTGAGGAAGGATGTCTCTGCTTCTGGAGCAACCGTAGAGGGATCAGTGGAAGGTGAAGTGGTGGACGCGAGAAGTTCAGACTCTATAAGGGCTTTGCTTGCCAAAGTCGGTGAGGTGGATCATCTTGTATGGACGAGTGGTGATGGTCTCCGTCTTGGTTTCCCGGACATGGACCTCGATAAGAATAGAGGTATGTCGCATAATAAAACAATGACCATTGATAAACGGATCTATTGCACTTCTTACAGATGTCTTCGACGTGCGCTTCTGGGGAGCATTCACTGCAGCGCAAGCTGCCAAGATCAAACCTGGAGGATCAATCACGTTCACTGTTGGTGCTGTTCTCGCGAAGCCTCGTAAAGGCTGGTCTCTCGCTGCAGGGATGATGGGTGCCGTTGATTCGCTCACTCGTGGTCTCGCGGTCGACCTTGCTCCTATTCGCGTTAACGCTGTTAGTCCTGGTGTTGTCAAGACAGAAGTTTGTTTTCTTTCCCCCTCAGTATAGTAGGAGTTTCTGTTTTTGATGCCCACACTTTATCTAGCTTTGGGAGATTTTCCCCCGTGAGGTGGCGGAGAAGTCATTTGAAGATGCTGCAAAGGTACTTCCTGTGCAACATGTCGCTGATCCTGATGAAATTGCGGAGGTGTACCTCTGCCTCATGAAGTAGGAATTCGCATATTTTGTTTCAGTGGTTTGCACTAACAAACACGTTAATGTACAGGTGCGGCTTCATTACGGGCCAGCGCATTGAAGCTGATGGTGGTGTAAGATTCACTTGAATATACAATTAAGACCGAAAATATCGTAGTCTTCGAAATGAACTCATGTATATATACTTGTTGTCAGAGAAGAATCGAAACCTCGAAAGTCTGTCTGAGTGTTGCTCCCTCAGTAAAAGGAAAGACGGTATGTATTTTATGATTTTACACTATCTACAAACTGAAATAGAGCAAATCCCCCCCCCGCCGCCCCGCTTAATATGTAAGTGTGCCTACAATCCTCGGTAAGTAGCGATCTGGTTGGTCAGGCGTGTAGTTTGGCCTGCAGTGAACTGGTTCATGCACGAATCAAACGAATAATCCATGTAGTTGTCTGTAAGTATCAAAGCTATCAGTATTATGGTCCATACCATGAAAAATGGAAGCGACGTACGGATCGGATCTACACCTGTTGAAGAACAGGTATCGCGTCCCGTAGGGCAACCGCTTGCTGGGCTAGCCTCTGCTGGCGTGTCATCCACTTGATCACCCGCTCCGGAGCATCCCTATGTATGAAGAGCAATTAAATGATCAATTCGATACTATTCACACAAGGTCTAGGAAGGCGACCGAGAAATGAATACTCACGCCTTGAAAAGTATGGTACAGTCCAACCCAATGGCCTGCTTCGTGCGTTAATGTCTGTGAATTTCATCATTAGTTGAGCTCTGTTTGAATATTGCAATTTTGAATTGTACTTACACGTCCTTCGTTATAGTTAGTTGTACTTCCTCCAGGTAAGCTTGAGAATAAAATGACAACTCCGTCATCCTTTGGATTGCCTTGGTAGTCGCTTGGGAATGTCGCATATCCTAACAACCCTTCTCCAGAGCCACTGGTGAACCCAACAGTATAGACGTTGAGGTCGGCCGCATCTCCCTCGCGTAATTGGTTTTTCATATCTGTTTGCTGGGAGGAGTCTGGGCCGACATTGTTGAACCAGTCAGAGTTGACTGTACGTGTGGTTTTGGCGAGTGTGAATGTGAGCCCGGAAGACGAGTAATCTTGATTCAGGACGTCGATCTGGTCTGAAATCTGGGAGTCTCTGTATCAGGACAGGGAAATGTCAGAGGATACAGGGTCGATGAGAAAGACGAGGAAAATAATACTAACGGGACGTCCCCCCCAGAGGTAGTATCATCCGCTGAGATTACGTGAAAATACACGGAGACCGTCGCTGCAGCCGAAGACTGGGTACGTGAGTCGTTGATCCTTGCTTGGAAATCTTGCTCTGCAGCTAGGAGTTTCTCGTCTGAGATGGTCGTACCACAGCGCACCCTTTTGTAAGCATTAGTAAATAAAATAAATCAAATTCAAGAGGGGGGTAGCTATACTCACTTATCGGTGCTGTTTCCTCCAAGAGGCCCGGCCAATGCACTCGTCGCAAGGACAGCGAGAGCGATTATACGACCAAACATGATGTATTACACGTCTAGCACAAGTTCGAAAAGCGGAGTCGGACACGGAGATTGTTTACCGATGCAGGAAAGCTCGCAAGGAAGGGCGAAGGGATGAGATATCTTAATCCACTGCAGTACTCGTTGTGTACTTTGTCTCCTATTTATGTTATTCTGTGTCGCCATTGCCAGCACATATCAATATCGCGAATGCGCCAGTCGATGCGTCGTCACTCTTGGCATACCCCAGACCATGTGTATTCTTGCATGCTCTGCTGTCTGGCGATCGTCCGAAAACTAGTGCTCCGCACCGTAGCGTAATTTACGGATACGCCTGCAGCGTATACGCTTACGCACCGTATCGTAAGAGAAAATTTTAGCTGAAAATACGGGCGTATATTTACGCGCGTATGCGTATACCATAAGTAAAAAATTTCCGTATACGCCGTATACGAGTATACGGTATTACTAAGCATATTCTCTAATTAAATACTAAGTTTGAGTTTCTAAACCTCATTTACTTTACTTATTTATATACCAAATCATTTTAATACTATATAACAACCTTGTTTAACTTAAAAAGTACTAGTATGAGTACTATGGTTAGTATAGTTACTACAGTACATCACATGAAGGTTTAGAGCTGTCACGTGATATTAACTCACAACACTCAACTGTCTTATTTCTGTGTGTAAACAGTACTACAATACATTTTCTTAGCTCAGTAATATCAAGCATTTGTTTTGAAAGATGATAGTGTACTTTTATGAGCTATTTTAATGTAAAGTATCTTGTTATATTTGGCACAGCGTATACGCCGTATACGCCGTATACGGAAGTAGCGTATCGTATATGGGTCCTGCTGACCCAGTTTACGCCCGTAATTATACGCGCGTATGCGTATACGTGGGAAATTTTACGCGCGTAAGCGTATACGCTACGCGCGGAGCACTACCGAAAACATAGGAAGAAGAGTCGAATCGCGGAATGAATCCGAATGATATTGTTATCCATGTGGGCCATCGTACTTTGTCTCCGGTCCCGCAGGGGACATGAAGAGGGGAAGACTGCATGCTCAAGCTTCTTTCCGGTGGGGAAATGTTCCGTATCACCAATTATAGGTCTTACACAAAGGTATCAGCCCAATGATGTGAGAAAAGCGTATGTTGCGAAGCAGCGGGAAGCATGACAACAAGCTCGTCATACCACTGGAAAGGTCCGGATCAAAGGGACTAGATTAAATAGACACATGCAATAGAAGCGGAGATAGCGACGCCGCGATGATCTGCTGTGTAGTTCTCCGCATGGTATTAGTTGAGCGCGGCATTTGAGCTGTATGTTCTGCATTGCACTCACGAGGATGGAAATGAGGATGCTGCATATGGAGTCTACGATAACACATGCTGTGATAGCTTGGCAAATCACTTTCATGAAAATAGACGATTGAAGCATTAGAGGTCTCTGATCAAGGTCGATAACGTCGAAACAAAGTCTCGACTGCATTCAATCACATGATTAAATCCTAAATACGAAATAGAAGAAACACATATATTCGACTACTATCTAGGAATGACAAGGTAGAATGACAATACAAAAAGTTTTCAACAAGAGTATATTCAATATTAATCAGTAGTACTGATCTAAATTTGATACAACTACAAAAGCATTCTTTTATTAGCAGTGCAGTAGTTAGATATCTTGTTAAGTAATTAAATCATTCAATGCTTCCTCGACCGACTTCCACTTCCAGAGCCTCCCAGATGGATTGACGAGCTCATTAACATTCTCTGCAGAAAAATCAAGTTTACCCTCGCCCATGAGGACACTACAGAATATCATGTAAGATAAAGAAAACAATTAGAATAATAACAATAACAAAATGACTGACCGGATGTATCCAGGTGGTGATCCAACATTTCCAGCTTCACTGTCTGACTTGAGCTTCTCGCGCGTTTGCTCAATGTCCTCGGTCTTCATTTCAACTTTCGTTTCGCGTTCGTCTGATTCATTTGTCCTTGACAAGACCACGCTTAGTGCATGAGCAATCTCCTCGGCGCTGCGAGTGCACCCAGAAATATGAACATGGGACGGGACGTTATCGGAGAGTGTAGCAGGCGAAAGCATTGCGAGAATCGCGAGTTGAGCGACTGAACGAGCAATATCGACTTTGCTTGTAAATGTCGCCCGAGAGGAGGGAGAACCGAGAGCCGTGATCGTCCGAGAAGATAAGTCGACCCCGTCTTAGACGTGCACAAATGTTTGCTTATTTATAGCCAAAATAAGAGGAGAGGAACCACTTACACCTCGACTCTGTAACCTGTTTGCAATCCCGGATGTATCATTTATGATGTATGGTATAAAGATATTGGAATATGAGCGCACATTAAATGAATCTTCGAGGAAAAGGCCATTGTACACAGAGATGATTTTGACATCTCCTTTCTTTGCAGCAATCTCGTTCACATAGTCGAGATGCTTGCGTTTTTTGATCCATTCGGGATGGTCGAAGCCCGGGAAGTCGTTTAGGCGGTGATCACTGACAGAGGGTCGGAGATTTGAATTAATCAGTCCAATTTATAGTGTCGAATAGGGACTTACACTCCGAACTCGCTCGGAAAATACACTTTCACTCCTGCCTCAATTGCAGCTTCTGCAACTACGTCTTTCACACGTGCACTTGTAACACCCAGGACATTCACAACTATATCTGTCCCCTTTAGTGCATTTCGCAGATTGTCATTTATATTATCGGAATGTTCTTCGTCTAGACGGATTTGAGTGACTTCAGCTCCGAGTGCAGCAAGTGTTTGTGCTCTTGACAAAGACGCGTCTCGAGTAAGCGCCACAACACGATGAAAAAAGGGTTTGAATGTCGTTAGGAGTGTCTCTGTAATGACATAGCCTATTAAGAAATATTAAATGGGTTTGAACGAATTGTGAAATTAATATTACAGTATGAACAGATATATGAGAACGGTTGCTTACCGAGCCGACCTGTCGCACCTGCGACAACGATGGAGGACTGTGCTCTACTTAGCATGGCGCTTGTGGTATGCGACATGTTTCATCTGCCCTATAATATAATAAAATTGGAGCGTGGTGCTACCTCACGATTCATTACATCGTCGGGCTAAGAATGCGGAACGATACGGCAGTCAGAGTCGGAACAGCAAACAGATCACGTTACTAGACAGGCCGCTTTCGGCGGCGACAACCGTGTCTTGGCAATAAGTAGGTCTAACCGCGGATCCGCACCGCGGTTAAGATTCTCGCGGATATGCTAACCGCGGTTAAGATTCCCACGGCTACCGCAGATTTCCCGGTAGCCGCATTATTGTAGTTATAGTTGCTGATGTCCGGTCCCGGACTGCTCGGACTCGGTCCGGACGCAGGACTGGACCGATGGACCAGTCCTCTGCAGTCCGGTCCTCATGGGTCCAGGAGAGGTCCGGTCCTGGGTCCATCATTTTGAGAAATTTCCTGGACTGATGGACTTGTCTGGACCCAGACTAGACTCTGGACCTGAATAACCTGAACTAATGTCTCAAATCTTGTTTCCCATATCTCTAGCTCACTATACTAAAACAGATCATACTCCTTTAAGGATCTTTGAATATTAGCTAACACTTACATAGTACATTTTACAAGTTTCTAACAGTCCAAGTAAAGCAAAACTTTACTCCTGTTCTTTATGTTATAATTCTCTACTCCTGTATCTTCAGTTCTAAGGGTTCTGCACCCTTCTGTACCAGAACTCAGGACTTCTGTCCCTCAGGAGCACTGTCTATAGACTATATGTATACTGACTCTTACTACTACCCTTCCTTACTTCATCATTCCATTCCTTTGACCACTCCTTTATTCTTTGTTCATTCTATAGTCTCTTACCCTTTGTCTATCCCTTTATTCTTTGTACCTTTATCTTTAACATTCCCTTTCTTTTATTCTTTGTGGCTTATCATTCTTAGTGGCTCATACTTCCTGAGTACTCTTGTATAGTTTAGTATATGTTAACATGTATTATGATCAATGATACAATTACAGACACTACAGTAATGATAAGATGATTAATACACATATAAACAGAACAGACACAGAACAATGAGACATGTATTGGATACACAATACAAGACATGTATCAGATATGCAATAAGTATCAGATACAAGATAATGATACATTGGATGTCTAAGACATACAGACAAATGAATAACATAAAAGCAAGCAACTTAGTAACTAAATATATATTATTATCAGGGTCTATACCCTCATTACTTGTGTGATAACCTAAGAATATGTATTCTAACAGGTTATGAGCCTTGCACTCTCTGCTTAACACCTCACATTACTACTACAAGACTATGCTACACTACTTTGCATTGATACTACAAATCTATGATGGACTCACCAAGTACCTGCAATCTCTATACACTAAACAAAACTGTACCAAACTCATCTACACCTTTGAATAACTTGCAAAGGACAAATACAAGTCATTACAAACCTGCCAATGTACCTAAACACTTTGGACACAACATTGTACAACTAAAAGACACATCTGGATTCAAGATATGGAAGTATTGGATTAACTCTGCTATTGCAGCAACAGGCTATATGCACTTGTTTACAAATGAACCAAAGCCTGAAGACATTGAGGTTGTGCACACAATCTACACATTAATAATTGATAAAGTAGCAGATCATATAATGGCTAACTTTATACATACTGGAATGTTGATTAAAACTCTTATGAGTGGATTAGAAGAACATTTCAACCCTCATACAGTTATGCATAAAGCATACAATGAGTCTTTACTATTTAAATGTAATGACCATGTTAAAAACTTTGGATAAGTACTTGATAAACTAGAGCAGATATATGCACAGCTAGTAGCAGACAATTTAAAACCTACAGACACTATGTATTGAGTGGCTATCTATGCTGCAACCCCTCCTGAATATAGTGGTACTATTATGGTTATAGAACAAGCTTGAGACATGTTTTACAATGGAAAACCCAAATCCGAGTATCAACCTATCAAGCCACAAAGACTTATTACAGTACTACACTAAGTGTTTAATGATTTTCACATCAAAAACCCTACACAATACATAAACAACAAGCCTACAATACACAGACAGGCAAATATGTTTTGTACAAAAGATAAAAAGTACAGAAAGAAGGGAAACAACAAAAATACAAGTAAACCAACCCCTGCATCAAAATGCTTCAATTGTAGCAAATCAGGGCACTTCTCCTGTGATTGCTGGAAGTCACTGACTCAATCAACACTAGATGCCCAAGCCAAAAAGGCTAATCCTTTGGCTAACACAATAGAAGCAACAGAAGTGAAATCTGTACCAGTAACAACTACACTGTGTGTGAATGCATACATTAAACAGGTGCCAGACATTGAAATGATGGATGTACCAGCCTCTCAGCAAGCAAATACTATTGTGAACACAGACACAAACAACCCATTTACTAACTGGGTATGTTATAATAATATCTTGGACGAAAATAACATGCTAATAAATAAATATATCCCTAATACAATTGATATAATTGATTCTAGTGCAACAATTCATACTACACCATATTACTTTTGCCTTACAAACGTACAAAACGTATCCCTGGTAACAGTTACACTTGCAAACAAATCAATAGTGACTCTTACAAAGGCTAGAGATATGATTATTGAAATTAAAAGGGGAAATTCAGGAAATACATACAATCCTGTAATTAGCAAAATAATGTTAACACATGTTTATTATCATTTGGATTTGAACTTTTCACTTATAAGTCAAGCATTATTATGCAACAACAGTTTCACATTCATGTTCAAACAAGTAGAATGTATTATTTATTGTAGACAATGTGAAATAGGAATGATTAAACTTGAAAACAACCTATATGTGTTAAGAAACACTCATTACATGAATTCCATGAGTGGAATCAGTGTTTACAATCTACATAAACGTCTCAGTCATATCAGTTATGATTATATTAAATGTTTATTATGGAACAACACAATAATATTATCTCAAAAGATAACAAACTTTGATGAAAAACAATGTGTTGATTGTATAAAAGCAAACATTGAACAAACAGCACATCCAAAAACAAGATCTTCAGAAATAAGTGCAAACTACAGCAATATAATACATATGGATATAATAGGTCTAATATCCTATAAAGGATATAAGAATATATGATATCTATTAATGTTAGTTGATAATGTAACATGTTGGGTATCTTTATTAAAATTATGAACAAAAGATGACACATATACTCAGTATGTTCAATAGAGCACAAACATATTTACACAACACAGTATACAAATAAAACAATTGCAAAGTAATAATGATAGAGTATTCTGCAGGAAATTCTTCCAAGAATACTTAATTAGTCAAGGAACAAAATCCAGACTAACAGTAAAGCATACACTGTAACAGAATGGAGTAGCAGAACAAATGTATAAAACAATATTTAATCAAATACATGCCTCTATTACTTTGCAAAACATTCCATTATGCTTATAGGCAGAAGTGGCAATGTTACAGGCATATATTCATAATAGAACTCCTTGAAGAGTAATAGGATATGTAACTCCTTATTATAAACAATACAGACACAATGCTAGTATTGACAACATACACAAATTTGGTTAATACATTATAATATGGAATGAAAACCTATCTAAAATTACAGATAGAGGTTATTACAGACAATGGATAGGTTTCAACAATAATTCAAAAGGTCACATTATATGACATGATAGAAAAATAACTATCAAACATAATATACAATTCCTCAACACAAAACCTTCACAAATTGAAGGGGACTTGGAAGACATCTAAGAAAACAAGTTAGATATTAAGGAAAACAACAACAAATCTGAGTTCAAAGGACCTAGCAACAGAGACAAATACTGCTGCCAAGTACACAAACAAGGACAGACACACGTTGAAACAAAATCCAAAGGAAACAAGATAGGATTGAATGTTCTGGAAACCCAAACAAAAGCTCCCCAAGTAATCAAACATCTTCAACACGTTTCTCCTGGACACAACAACCTAAACTATCACTCTGAAACGGCTCCTCATTTATAACAGGACCTTGGTGCATCCACAGAGGATGAAGCAACACTCTCAGAGAAAGCAAATCACCAACAGAAAATACAAAATATGTGGAAGTTAGTAGAAAACATGTAATACAATGAATCCAATTGAGAATCAGACAAAACTATGCAACTAAAACACTCTACTCAAAAGTGCAAAATTACAGAACGTTTGGGTGAAACGAATTTACCTAGTAAACACTCAAAAGGTCTATCATATGTTGACAAAACAAATATTATAATTTATCTTAACAAATTTAACAAACTACATACAGAAATAATGACAGATCCATTATCATATAAAGAAGCAATCAATAGAAGTGATTGTGAGCTTTGGAATAAAGCTATGGACGACAAAGTACAACAATTAATACAATCCAATACTTGGGAGACAGTATATCCTCCTGATAATGCAAATGTTATTGGAACACAATTTGTATATAAAACAAAACGTCTAACAGATAATTCTATTGAAAAACAAAAAGCTAGATTAGTTGTACAAGGAATATTTCAATGAGACAGTAAAGATTCAAGAGTAGAGTATATAGAGTAAGCTTAAGAGTACAGGACTATCTAGAGTAAACAAGATCAAGACTATAGGACTAGTCTAATCTTGTACACCTATATATACTGTTAGAATGTGTATTCTTAGGTTATCACACAAGTAATGAGAGTGTAGACCCTAATAATGATATATATTTAGTTACTAAGTTGCTTGCTTTTATGTTATTCATTTGTCTGTATGTCTTAGACATCCAATGTATCATTATCTTGTATCTGATACTTATTGTGTATCTGATACATGTCTTGTATTGTGTATCCAATACATGTCTCATTGTTCTGTGTCTGTTCTGTTTATATGCATATTAATCATCTTATCATTACTGTAGTGTCTGTAATTGTATCATTGATTGTAATACATGTTAACAGTCCCCTTCAAAC